TAAAAAATATATTGTAAATCCTAAATAATTAAATTAGGGCAATTTCGCCTCTACTTTTAAATTTTAACAAACATATGTTAATTTTATTTTTAAAATTGAGATGTAATGTATAATTTTTATCAAATTTCACTCTCCTTCTCTCACCTACCATAATTTGGTGAAAGTCGCATATTAAGCTATATTTTGACATACGTTTGTTTAAATTTAATGATAAATATGAAATTTTCTCAACTTTAATTATTTAATATTAAAATGTATCTTTTAAAAGTTTAACGTTTAAATTGCATATGAACTCTTGTTAAATATATATATATGTGTGTGTGTGTGAATAATATATTTTCTGAACTAATAATTAATATAGGTAAAAGCAAAGACTTGATATAAAAGGTTAATAACATGTCTTATAAATGTAATAGAACAAAATTCTCAGTCTGTTTTATAAATCTTAGAGGAGTATTTTAAATGAGAATAGTAGCGTATCCGCATTATGTTTGGTATTAGAAACTCCTCTCTCTCTCTCTCTCTCTATATATATATATATATATGGAAACGCAGGTACCTATAGTTTACACAAATTTTCAATCAAATTCTTATAATTTCAATCATTTTAATTAGGTTCTTATACTTTCAAATATTAGGCTCATTAATTCCTTCCTATTAACACGGTTTAAAAATTCAGACCAATCCACATTTTTTTGATAATATGTGCACGCGATGTCTGCTCCAAAGTTTTTTCTCTCCCTCTCAGTTCACGGTGTCATCCATTTAATCTGCCTGGATTATGCTTGCATGTTAGCCATTTTTAAACGTGTTATAATGGGAAGGGATAAATGAGCTTTAAGATTGAAACTATAAGTGCCCAATTAAAATGATTGAAACTAGAGGGACTTGATTAAAAATTAATGTAAACTATAGGGACTTGTAAAGATGTTTTCCCTATATATATATATATATATATTAAGAGACATGGGCTTAAAAAAAGGAAGAATAACAAATAAAGATCTTGCAAAAATATTAATTTTAAATTAAGATTTTTCAACACTGATGTTTTTAAATTTTAATATTCTTTTTATCATATTTTAATATTAAAGTTTTTAATTTAACATTAATGTTCTTACAAGATTCTTACTTATCATTCTCTTTTAAAAAAAGGGAGGGAGAGATAAAAAGAAAGATAAAGGGAGGCCTAAAAATCACATTTGGTATGACTAAAAAAACAAACCTTTGTATTTTAATCATTTTACTGTTAAATAACTTTACCTTGTTTCAAAAACAAAAATTAAAAAAAGTTAGCCACCTAACCTTGTATAAATGAAAATACAAGATAAAGTGACAAATACAAGTAAAGGGCACAAATGTCCTATATGAATTCACTTTACGGAAATCCAAGGTTGTGTTTAACGAGTTTCTCTTGTTTCTATTTTTTTTTTTTTTCTGTTGTGTCAGATTCTTTTCTTAGTCTTTATGTCTAATTTTTTTCTTTTTTTTTAATTTTATAAAAAGATAATTAATTTATGTAAACTATTAAAAGGTCCATACAAACAAAAGGCCCGATCAAAATAGTGCAACCTTAAACTATTTATCCACATGTCATTGTTCCGGTTCAAAAATAAAAACTAGTTTATAGATTTTATTTTATTTTAAGATAATCGTGACTTTATATTTTTGACAAATCATGGGGCAAAATGCATAAATTTAGCTGAAAAAACTAGCAATTAACATTTTCAGATATACGGGTATTTATAACATTTAAACATATTAAACAATGAGGTTTTCAATTAAATCTTACAAAGATTTTTTTTATTCATCTCAATTTGTTAGATGTTCAAATTTGTATAATTTAATTGAATTGTCTAATTAGTAATAAAATCTTTAGTAGCATTTGATGCTCTATCTAACATATCTAATGTATTTATTACATTTTTCGTAAAAAAATGTTTGTATTATCCAAAATTGATTGCATATGCTGACCTGCGAGAACTTTTCTGCATAAAAACGCTTCCACGCGTGTTTTCGGAGTTTTTCAAAAATGCTTTGAAAGGATAAAAAGAAACACTCATACTTTTTTCTTTTTTCTTTTTGAATTGTTGATGTTTGAAATTTATTTCATATTGACACAAATAGTATTCTTATTTGATTAATTAACTAAACCAGTTCAAAATTTGCAAAACGTAACGATCAGTGAACAGAAAAGTTTGCGACAATAATTCGCTATCATGGATGCGATAAAACAAAGGGAGATTTCAATGAATTGAAGACTCTTTTTTTTTTTTTTTTTCAAACTCATCTTCCTCTTACTAATTAAAAATAATTGTCACTATTTCCTTGCAATTTCTTCATGGTCATTAATTTTTCCTCAATATCATCGTCACTATTTTTTGTTCTTTATCTAATCTGGGCATTTCTGCCAAGGAAGATTTATTCAATCATGTTGTTTGGGCTCTTAGAATATGGCTGCCTTGGAGCTTTTTATTTGATTTTAGCAAAAGGCCCAATGAAGTAGGTTTGGATCATGGGCAAACGCGGAAAGATCGCATGGATTTAAAAAAAAAATGCTTAGATTTAAATTTACCCATAGTTTGTTTATTCCTTATCTCAAAAGTCCTATTTTAATTTGTAAGAAATAGGATTTGCTTTATTTCTACTATTTATTCTTATATTTTAAATTCAATTTTAGTTTTTATATTTTTACATCAATATATATTTACTAAGCTTTTTTTATATATATATATATATATATAACAATGAATGACCATTCTGAGGTGATCTCTGGCAAAAATGTGGCAGTATAAAACCAGTAAGTTGCAGAAAGGATGGGAATATAATCAATTAAAGAAATTAAAAATAAATTGGATTACCATACCGTCATGCCTTCTTTTATAGTAAGCATGATAAAATTTAATATCATATATAAATGTACAAATTATCATCACAACCTCCACAAACTATATGAATCACAGAAGATTATAGTGAAAGGTTCCCCATGACTTCTAGAAAAATTTTCCAGATCTCAGTTAAATGAATAATAACCAGTGTATCACATATGAATGTATAAATTATTACAACCTCCACAAACTTCATAAATCACGTAAGATTATAGTGAAAGGTTTTCCATGACTATTAGAAAAATTTTCTACATCTTAGTTAAGTGAATAATAATCAGTGTATATATAAAGTCAACTAAAGCTTCATCTTATTTATGAGGATGTCATTGGTCACACTTTATTCACTGCAGGTTCGTTTTTAATCAGTGTAAAAGCCTACTACATAATTCCCTTTATTTTTTTTGCGTTAGTAAGATACTGTTATGAGTCCCACTTCAATATAGGAGTCACGTTTTATCTAGCAGGAGGTCTGGTGAAATGTCATAAATTGGATTTGTTAGTGATGTGTGGACCCTCAAATAAGGTAATATTGTTATGCAAGTCTCACGTCAAGAGCTGCTTAAATGAAGTGTAGTTTGTAAATTTAATTAATGGGCTCTCTTACCTAATAGTTTAGCTTTTTGAGATGAGTTTTCTTTATGGACTTTTACCCATAAAAAATAGTAGTTGTCTTTTAAAATTAATGATTCCTACCATTCATTTTAAGTTGATATTTTTTATCCATAAGAGTTTTACAGCATCTAGTTGAAGAGCACTACATGCTTGATCATCAACCTTTTGGCTAATTTGTGTTATTTGTTTTATTTTAAAATGATCCATGTTATTCATTTTAAATTGATTCTTAGGTATTTTTAATATTGTAATTATTAAAATAAAAAGGATAAAAAATTTGATATTAAACCAATATTGTTCAGAATACATCTATAAAAAAATTTAATATTAAATTAAAAAATTCAGATTAAATATGACCTAGAAAGATGATGAATATATTTCCTAAAAAAATTATAATTTTTATTTTGATAAATGTAAAATAAAAATAAAAATCTTTAACTCTAAACAATTTTGATCTTATCAGGGGTGATAAATATATCAGGGTTCTCATCTCCCTAATAGCACCAAAGAAAATCCAAATTTAATATTAAATTTTTAACAATTTTTATAAGTTTTTGTTTTGATAAATATAATATTTAAAAAATAAATTTAAATTGAATGGTAGGGATCGTTAATTTTTGTTTTGATCATTAATTTTAAAATGAAATGAATGGCTCAAATCAGCCAAAGGACTAATGAGCACCGAACGTGGGGACCAAGGATCTTTTTAGTTAAGGCCATTTTGGTAAATAAACATTAAATCCATTTACAATTAAAAAACATGGAATTTCCAAGTAATTTATGGATTTCATACGATCATTTTTCAGTTTTTAGATTGTTTGTTAGGGCTTCGGTGATTTTTCAGTTTTTAGAAAAATTTTAATCATAAAAAGAGAAAGTGGCATGGATGCTCCATAAACATAAATGGCTCAATTAACAGTCGCGATCAAACATTAATGACAAGACAATATTCTATCAAAATAAAAAATATTAGGTCGACATTTAGCCAAAAAAATAATTTAAACATATCAAATATGCCTGCGTGAAAATTATGAAGTTAAATTTAATTTGTACCTTAACCCAACATTAAATACTTTCTTTAGTCTTATTTATAAGTTACTTCCAGCATGTTTTATTGGAATAAGAAAAACCTTAAACTTTATTAATTTTATCTTAAATTTTAATACGTTTTCACTTTTACCCCTCATAATATTCTAAAATTTTATCATTGATTTTTTATTCAAAATTTTTAATGAGGGCAAAAATGGAGTATTGAAAATTAATAAGTGCTCTAAAAATAGGATTAAATTTTTTCTTCTTTCTCTATCCTATAAATAAGATCAAAAGAGTAAATTACAATCACTATTATATCACTGATTAAAGGGAGACAATTGGACCCATACAGAATGCTATAATCACGAGATTTCGAGTTTGAATCAATAAAAAAGATATCTTCCAGAGAGCCGCATGCCCTCGATGACTGGACCGACAAGGTTAAAATGCGACATAATCAAAGCCTTGGCGTAAAAATTGGACAGTTTAGAGCTTTATTATATAAATAACAACGAAAGAATACATGATATCTTCCTTTCATCCTCTTATTCTGCTAATTAGGATGAATAAATAACCCACAATTATTCCTTAACCACATTACAAATACTAAAAAACCATCAACAACAACAACAATAATATAAACCAAATATTACACTACTTGATTCACAAACTATAACGACACTGACGATTATGCCCTCCTCTCAAACATGACAGGAAGAACATTACCATCCAGAGCCTCCAGAATCTTGCCATTCTCGCGTAATCCACCCATAGTCCCACAATCAAACTTGCAAGTAGGACACACTTCTGTAGGACACCATTGAATGTTATAGATTCCTTCGGACTGTGTCTCCACAATCCTAAAATAGATAGTATAATCACGATCACCATCGCTAGAACCAGTCACGATAAGTCTTCTCCCACTAGTTGTGTCCCTCTCGCCCAGCTTCCATTGTGTTGATTGGATACATATGGTGACGGCGGAGGAGAACACCACCGTGAAGTCCCTGTTCACCTTCACGACGTTGTCTTCTCCGGCATACGGCGAGAAGGTCGCTGGCTGACCTTCCCCAGCGTCGTTGTTTTCCTGGCCGACATAGAGAGGGCAGGAGCCATTGCGGTTGATGAGAGTGAAGCGGCCGCCGGAGTCGGTGATAGCGGGCTTGATGTAGTACTCAACGCCACGTTGGAGAGGATGGCCGTTCGTATCGAGAACGGAGGCGTTGTCGGATTGGGATAGGGCTGGCGTGGCTATCATGAGAAGCCATGCAAGGCTAAGGGCTGAACTGGAAGCCAACTTCATATTGATTGTTTAGAAAAAGGATGGATATGTTGTGTTTTACGGAGAAGGGAAGGATCAGGTATTTATGGGGATCGATATGGGGCTGGAGATAAGGAGGTCGATGAGTTAAATACGTACAAATATTTTACTTGTACGAACCTTTCGTGTACTTTTTGATATTAATTAGGAAATGGCCGAATTTTCATTCAATGCCGTAGGTTGCTTGTGAATAGTCGCACATGTGTACATCACACCTTTGAACGTTGAATGCAAAGCCAACGTGTAAATTTTGGTCATGGAAAACTCAATCTTTTGACAATCTTTGCGTTTCGTGTTTAGATTAATTTCAAGATGTTAATTTTTATATTAGGTCTTGTTGAGTTATATTCATTGGGTAGTTTTTACTTTTTAGTATAATTATAAGAGAGGTTTTTTTATTAAAAAGGATAATATAGTCTTTAAACTTTTTTCAATTATTGATTTAATTCTTAATTTTTCACTCAGTATAATTTAATCTTTATAATTATTTAGTCAATAAATTATTTTAGGAATTGTGTTGCGACGAGTTAAAAATTACAAAAACTGAATTATTTTAAATTAATAAATTATAAAAATTGAATTATTCCAAATCAAAATTCAGGATTGAGAGATATAAAATTATGGATCAAAAAGTTACATTTTCCAAAAAGAAAATAGCGGAAAGTTTAAATTTTATTGGATCTCCCGGAACGGGCACCTCTTTTCTTTTCTAGTGCAAGAAAAACCCACATGCATAAAATATTATGTTTTCATTATAAATAGTTAACAATAATCATTTTTAATATTTTATGAACAAGTCTTGCCTGCCAACCCCTAAATTAAAATCTAAAGCCAATGATAGAAGCCATAAATATATAGACCCCATTTTCAGACTTTGTTTCAATACAAGACAAATCATATACGTTTTGTTACGTAACAAGTTAAAAGCAGTGTCTCTCGCTGGGAAAATGTTAAGGCATAAGCTAACCATGCACGTAGCTTGTGTGTATATCTAAATCCATATTTAAAAATTGTTGAAAATACTATGAGAGAAAAAATTGCAAACATATTTTGGATAAACTTGAGAGTACTTATCCATTTGCCTTTGATATGTCAATGAAACACCTGGTCAACTTAAAACAAAATAAATAAATACATGTGTGTGTCCAATTTTTCCTCTTTGTTGCTTGTAGAATTTTGTCTTTGGCACATAATTGAAGTGCATGATATAAAATTGTGCGGTGCATGGGTTAAAATTTTAGGTGACAACGTGATGTTCAAAGGCTTGAAGCATTCGGTTCGCGTTTTGGAATTTGAGTTTTAAGTTTAACGCCCATTTCAAAAAACAATAAAGGCTCAAAACCAAAAAGAAAAGTATGGGGTTGAAAAATGAACTTTTAAGTCTTTGAGTTATCTACAAAAGTTGGTTTAATTAGTAAAGATTTGGCACATAATCTAAAATATTATAAGATTAAATCTCATTGTTGATGTGATTGAGGACCTTATTGGTAAGTGATTTATAAATATTTTTATAAGCACTCTTTAATCTTGAACGCTTGTTTTAACTCTAGTGAGCCCTCCAAACTTAGCTCATGTAAACTTTTTCTTTATAAAAAAAAAGTCCTTTTAGTTTAATTTAGTTATTAATTTACTCCTTCAAATTTAATCTTTATGGATTTAGTCTATTAAATTTGTTTCAGTTGCAATAAAGATAAGTAATTAAAAATTGAATGTCTTATTTATAATTATAATTATTGAATTTTCAATTTTTTAAAGTAATTGATTTTTACAATTTATCTTTCAGAAAATTTGTGAAAATATAATTACATCATTAATTTTTTATTTTAGGATTTAATTATCATTCTCCTTGGTTTAAAGTAAATATGGAGCATACAACTTACAAATCTATTACTATAATAGCATTATCAAGCATCAGAGACAAGTAACCCATAATCACCAATCATTTAGATGAATTTTGTAATTTGACGACATGATTATTATAAATAAAAATAATCCAATTTTTGTTTATAATTATAAGAACTTTCATCAAACCATATTAAGATATAATCAAGACTAAAATTTTAAATAAGTTTTATTGATCATAAAATACAATTTGGAGCTTTATTATAATTAGATGCAACGTAACAATAAACACACACACATGTTCATCCTCTTATTATTTTATAAGGATGAATTAATAGCCCCCGATCTTCTACTAATTACAATATTTAACCCAAATATTACACAACTTGTTCACAAAACTATAATTATAGTTAATGATTATTATGCCCTCACGAACACAACGGGAAGAACATTCCCATCCAAAGCCTCCAGAATCTTGCCATTCTCACGTAATCCACCAACAGTCCCGCAAGCAAACCTACAAGTAGGACAAACCTCTGTAGGACACCATTGAATATTATAGATTCCTCCGAACTGTGTCTCCACAATCCTAAAATAGTTACTATAATCACGACCACCGTTGCTACTACCGGTAACGATAAGTCTTCTTCCACTTTTTGCGTCCCTCTCGCCGACCTTCCATTGCTTTGATTGAATGCATATCGTGGCGGCGGCAAACGCCACCTTGAAGTCCCTGTTCACCTTCACGACATTGTCTTCTCCGGCGTAGGGCGTGAAGGTCACCGGGAGGCCTTTGCCGACGTCGGTGTTTAGCTGGCCGACGTAGAGAGGGCAGGAGTTGTTGCGGTTGATGAGAGTGAATCGGCCGCCGGAGTCGGTGATGGCGGGCTTGATGTAGTACTCACGGCCGCGTTGAAGAGGACGGCGATTTGTGTCTAGCACGGAGGCGGTGGTGTCGGATTGGGACAGGGCTGACGTGGCCATCATTGTGAGAAGCCATGCAAGGCCAAGGACTGAACTTGAAGCCAACTTCATCATGTTGGTTATGGATATGTTGGTGTGATTGCGTTTTGCAGAGAAGAAAGGACATGTAAGGTATTTATAGGGATGAAGATAAACGAGGTTGAATAATTGATGCACTAAATCCAAAATGGACAAATGTTTTACTTGAACGTAGCTCAGGTATTCATTGTCTTTGATATTAATAATTTATTATTTAAATTCTCTAAAATAGAGATTATTCATGAATTTCTCTGTAAACTTTAATTTCTTTTATAATATTTTTTCATTTTAATCTATTCAAAAAAAAGTTGTTAATATATCTTGTATATCATCCGTTCTATTTTACGAGATATTTTTTAAAATAATTTAATTTTAAACTATAACACATGTAGGAAAAAAAATTAACATTTCATTGATCATCATTCCAACATTATCCATCATTATTTCAGTAATATTATAGGTAAAACTTGAAAGTTCTCAATTAATAATTAGGATTATAAAATAAAGAAAAAGGGCAAATTTTCAATGCCGTAGGCTGCTTGGGATCGGATAAGCCATTCATGTCACAGCTTTGACTTTTGAAGGCCAAACCGACAAAAGTTTTTGTGATGCCAAAATTCAATCTCAATTTTCACAAAAAATTAGGCTGTGTTTGGTAAGTTGGAGGAAACCTCTAAGAAAAACCTACTAGCAGAGGATTATACTATTGAAAAAATAATAATAAAATTACTTTAAAATATATAAATAATAATTTAATTCCTCAAAATATCATAATTTTTTTGAAGTTTTTAAAAAAATTTCTGTCATTAATGCAAATTGCTATTACATTGTTGCAAGTATAAGAAGAAAAGTTGTAAATATTTAAGTAAAACTTGTGAATAATTTATTTTCAATAAAAATAATTTGATAATTTAATCAATTCATTAACGATAGAAAAGTTCATAGGGACCTCAAAGAAATTATAACATTTTGAGATACCAAATTTTCAGTTATATATTTTAGAGGGATTTTATTGTCATTTTTTTATATTATTTTTCCACTCATGAATATAAGTAATATATAAAATCTTGTTTTTACCAAATGGTCCCTTTACATTTGAACCTTCTTCGTTTTTTAGATTAATTTCAAGAGGTGGAGTTCTAGTTTAGATATCATAGAAAGATGATGAACAAATTTCCTAAAAAATTATAATTTTTATTTTGATAAATATAAAATAAAAATAAAAAGCTTTAAGTCTAAATAATCTAAATCTTATCAGTGGTGATAAATACCATAGTTCTCATCTCCCTGATAGCACCAAAGACATTCCAAATTTAATATTAAATTTTTAATAATTTTTATAAGTTTTTGTTTTGATAAATATATTACTTAAAAAATTAATTTAAAATGAATGATAGAGATCATTAATTTTTGTTTTGATCATTAATTTTAAAATAAAATGAATGGCTCAGATCAGCCAAAGGGCTGCCTAGGACCTTTTTAGTTAAGGCCATTTTGGTAAATAAACATTAAATTCATTTGCAATTAAAAAAACATAGAATTTCCAAGTAATTTATGGATTTCATGGGATCATTTTTCAGTTTATAGATTGTTTGTAAGGACCTTAGTGATTTTTCAGTTTTTATAAACCTTTTAATCATAAAAAGAGAAAGTGACATGGATGTTGCAGAAATACAAATGGGTCAATTAAGAGTCACGATCAAACATTAATGAAAAGACAACATTCTAACAAAATAAAAAATATTAGGTCGACATTTAGCCAAAAAAATAATTTAAAGATATATATCAAATATGATTGCGTGAAAATTAAATTATGAGGATAAATTTAATTTGTACCTTTACCCAACATTAAATAAATTATAATCACTATTATATCATTGATTAAAGGGAGACAATTTGACTCATACATAATGCTATAATGTATAATCACTTAAACATGAGATCTTTAGTTTTAATCAACATAAAAAATTTCTCCCGGAGAGCTGCCCTCAATGATTGGATATATGACATAATCAAATAACCTTACCGTAAAAATTGGACAATTTAGAGCTTTACTCTATATATAACACTGTGAAAGAGTACATGATATCTTCCTTTCATCCTCTCATTCTACTGATTAGGATGAATCAATAACCCACAATTATTCCCTAACCACATTACAAATACTAAAAAACCATCGACAACAATATAAACCAAATGTTACACTACTCGATTCACAAACTATAATAACAATGACGATTATGCCCTCCTCTCAAACACGACAGGAAGAACATTACCATCCAGAGCCGCCAGAATCTTGCCATTCTCACGTAATCCACCAATAGTCCCACAATCAAACCTACAAGTAGGACACACTTCTGTAGGACACCATCGAATGTTATAGATTCCTTCGGACTGTGCCTCCACGATCCTAAAATAGATAGTATAATCACGATCACCATCGCCAGAACCAGTCACGATAAGTCTTCTCCCACTAGTCGTGTCCCTCTCGCCCAGCTTCCATTGTGTTGATTGGATACATATGGTGACGGCGGAGGAGAACACCACCGTGAAGTCCCTGTTCACCTTCACGACGTTGTATTCCCCGGCGTACGGTGAAGGTCGCCGGCTGGCCTTCCCCGGCGTCGTTGTTTTCCTGGCCGACTTAGAGAGGGCAGGAGCCATTGCGGTTGATGAGAGTGAAGTGGCCGCCGGAGTCGGTGATGGCCGGCTTGATGTAGTACTCAACGCCACGTTGAAGAGGACGGCCGCTCGTGTCGAGAACGGAAGCGTTGTCGGATTGGGATATTGCTGACGTGGCTATCATGAGAAGCCATGCAAGGCCAAGGGCTGAACTGGAAGCCAACTTCATATTGATTGTTTAGCAAAAAGGGTTTGATTATGGATATGTTGTGTTTTATGGAGAAGGAAGGATGAGGTATTTATAGGGATCGATATGGGGTTGAAGATAAGGAGGCTGATGAGTTAAAAGTCAAGTATGTACAAATATTTTAATTGTAAGTACCTTACGTGTATTTTTTACATTAATTAGGAAATGGACGAATTTTCAAAGCCGTAGGTTGCTTGTGATTAGTCGCACTTACATGTGTGCATCACACCTTTGACCCTTGAATGCAAAACCCGAGTTTAAATTTGTCATGGAAAACTCAATCTTTTGACAAATTTTGGGGTTTCGTATTTAGATTAATTTCAAGATGTTAATTTATTTTCATAAAATCACAATATAAAGCATCTTCTAGAAGCCTTTCTTGATCCAAAATATAAAATAGTTGATAACTTTTATAATTATTTTTCAACTATATATATTCCTACTTTATTTATTACTTTTTTAAAAAAAATGATTCATGATAATTATAATTATCAAGGTACTTATATAGGATATTTAAAGAGAGTATAATTGAAAAAATACAACTTTTTTAAGAAATTAAATTTTAACTAATATTTTTTAAAAATTATGAATTAGTTATCAATATCTTATATTTTAGTCCGGAGGGAGTATATATTAGTTCTTGTTGAGTTATATTCATTGAGTTGTTTTTACTTTTTAGTATAACTATAAGAGAGATTTTTTTATTAAAAGGATAATCTAGTTTATTTAGTTAATTAATGAATTATAGAAATTGTGTTGTAATGAGTTACAAAAATTATCAGGATTGAATTATTTTGAATTAATAAATTATAAAAATTAATTGAAACATCTTATATTTGAAACAACAATGGCTTCCATAGATAATAATGGTAACTTGTCCCCAAAAAATATAAAATAAAATATGCAGGAGTTTATATATTCATAGTTCTAGTATTTAATAAGATAGACTAGAGGCATAAGTAATACACAATAGAACTGATAATTCGAGCAAGCCCAAAAATTATGAAAACATGATTTAAGAAAATACTTTTTGGTAGTTGGCCATATTTGACTCGAATAAATCCAAAATGATTTTTATTTTATTTTCTTAAAACATATATGGTTGATGATACAACATAATAGTGTCATGCAATTTAGATAGCCAGCTAATCCCACATATGGGATAAAACTTCTTGTTGTCATTTTTACATATAACATATGTTAAATATTAATTAATCATTTAACTCTTATTTGACTTTATACTAAGAGATCACATATTTGAGTATATTATTTTAAATATTTTTTAAAAATAAAAGGATCCATATTGTTTTATTTTTATTGTTTTTAATCTTTAAAATATCTTAAAATAATATTTAATCTTGAATTTTGAATTTTAAGAACCCAATTTTTCTTAAAAAAAGTTTGAGTCTTTTATATTTTTTTCAAGTGCCTAAAGAAATATTGGGAGAATCACATTCAAAAATCCAAGCAAAAAGTTATTCGTAGACAAAGACCAATAATAAGTCCTATTTGAGAAAAAAATAAGTCAATATTTTTATTTTAATAATAATCCATTTTGTTTTGGTTTTTGTCTGCGAATAATTTCCCTGCCAGGTCATTAAATGTGATTCTCCCAAAAACATATTGTACATTTTTTTATAATAATAACAATAATTAATTTTAAAGTAAATATTTAAATTTTCTTTAGAATAAAAATAAAAAAATCTTTGACAATTCAAACTAGCTCGAATAAGCTCAAGATATTAGGGTCAAGTTTTACTATATAGGTATTTTTTAATAAATTCAGGCCTACCCAAATAAACTTGACTTAAATAAGCTCGTTCTATCCAAATTACCCACTACAATACATAAGGTTCAATCATATTTGGATTCAGTGAGTGGCTTAAGTCTACTTACTTAATAAATGTCTCAACAGTTATTAAATTTTATCAATATTTAAAAATTATTGAGATACATTTTTCTTAAAAAAATAAAACAATTCTCACGATCAGAACACTCTTTGTATATGATATTTTGTGAGACTATTATATAATGAAATCCTTGATAACCATTTAATTGAATTGAACAGCTATTATTGAGTCACGTGAAACATCTATTGAGTGAATAAATTTATGCCACTCAACAAAGTCCAAATCCTATTCAATCCTATCCGTGAGAATCCAGGTGATGTGATAATTGTAGTATAGTGCTTGAATTCTGATGCCAAAATGATGTCCTCTTTCATCATAAAAAAATAATGCCATTGAATTGAATGTTGTATGCGTACTTGGCAAAATTGAATCATGCCGTGAAGGTAAACAAGATTCAGCTCGCAAGTAAAAATAAAACGGTGAACTTGACGTTAGATATTACAATGTCACTTGCATCATTTTCATCCCTTTGATCCCTCAGCTCTTAGTCTCAGGCCAACCGGGCTTCAAATTTTTCAATTTCAAAATCTTAGTACAACTGGATTTTAAAAAAACAGCAGCTCATTGCAGGTCAGTACTTTCAAGATTAAGCACCCTCCAGATTACTCACATATTCATGAACCAACTCATCATGTGCTCAACAATCATTGAAGACTAATTAGTCCCACAGGTGAGCCCTCGTAAGAACTCCCATTGCAAATTCCAACCATCCAAATGATTAGAATGGTTTAGATATTTCTATTTCAATGGTAATAATAATAATTATTAATAGATTTGAATTGTGTAGATCTACTTGAATAGCCAAAATTTATTAAAAACGAAATCTTTATATGCCTGACTAAAATTGAAAGAATTTATGGGTTTCTAACTATCAACTTAATTACTTCATGACGAGCCAACAAAGATTATTTATGCCTGTGGATTCTCTCAATGTTAGGCAGACAATTTTGTTTTTTTAAATATAAAGCTACAGTTTTTTTTAATATGAATTCCAACCATCCAATGCTTGAGCTGTCTTCTTTTAAACATACCCAATAATCTTGCAGCTTTCTTCATTTACTGTCTTTTAAACACCCAGTTTAGCGAGTCTAGCGAGCTGCCCGACTGTGGAGATGAGCAAGAAGATCAAGCCTTTGATGAAGATGGCGACGAGGGCACTTGGTAGGAGATATTATGCGACCCAAATAGAGGTTAGTGAAAGCACTCATTATGATGCAGCCAATAATGAGGGAGGTAGCAGCGAGGCGAGGGGCAATGCTCAAGTCTCTGCGTGTTTTCTCGACTCAGGCAGCGGGACCCGTGAAGAAACATTGACTCAGCACATTTTTAATGATGTGGGATCCACGTGGCGTTGATAAGGATGGCACATGAGCAAATTCCAACGCTAGTAATCCTCATCAATGCCACATAGGATAATTTATAATGATTAAATAGTTTTTTTCAAAAAAAATATAGGACCTCAGTTATAACCTGGTTAAAGTTGAAGACTGAATTGTTCAGAGACTATGTTATAATTAAGTTGAAACTTCAAGGAATAAATGTTAATTCTCGCAAGAAAATATTTTAAATAAACTATGTACTATTATATCATTGATTAAAGGAGGACAAATTGGAGCTTTATTATATATATAACAATAAAAGAGCACATGAATGATGATATATCCCTTTCATCCTCTTATTCTGCTAATTAGGATGAATCAATGACCCAACTTTATTCCTTAACCACTTTACAAATACTAAATCAACAACAACAACAACAACAACAGCAATAACTCAGAACATTACACGACTCGATTCACAAACTATAATAATAATGACGATTATTCCCTCCTCTCAAACACGACAGGAAGAACATTACCATCCAGAGCCGCCAGAATCTTGCCATTCTCACGTAATCCACCAATAGTCCCACAATCAAACCTACAAGTAGGACACACTTCTGTAGGACACCATCGAATGTTATAGCTTCCTTCGGACTGTGCCTCCACAATCCTAAAATAGATAGTATAATCACGATCACCATTGCTAGAACCAGTCACGATAAGTCTTCTCCCACTAGTCGTGTCCCTCTCGCCCAGCTTCCATTGTGTTGATTGGAGACATAAGGTGATGGCGGAGGAGAACACCACCGTGAAGTCCCTGTTGACCTTCACGACGTTGTCTTCTCCGGCGTATGGTGAGAAGGTCGCCGGCTGGCCCTCCCCAAGGTCGGTGTTTTCTTGGCCGACGTAGAGAGGGCAGGAGTTGTTACGGTCGATGAGAGTGAAGCGGCCGCCGGAGTCGGTGATGGCCGGCTTGATGTAGTACTCAACGCCACGTTGGAGAGGACGGCCGTTTGTGTCGAGCACGGAGGCGTTGTCGGATTGGGATAGGGCTGACGTGGCTATCATGAGAAGCCATGCAAGGCCAAGGGCTGAACTGGAAGCCAACTTCATATTGATTGTTTAGCAAAAAGGGTTTGATTATGGATATGTTGTGTTTTATGGAGAAGGAAGGATGAGGTATTTATAGGGATCGATATGGCGTTGAAGATACGGGGGCTGATGAGTTAAAAGTCAAGCATGTACAAACATTTTACTTGTACGTACCTTACGTGTATTTTTTATATTAATTAGGAAATGGACGAATTTTCAAAGCCGTAGGTTGCTTGTGATTTGTCGCACGTACATGTGTGCATCACACCTTTGACCCTTGAATGCAAAACCCAAGTTTAAATTTTTGTCATGGAAAACTCAATCTTTTGACAAATTTTGGGGTTTCGTATTTAGATTAATTTCAAGATGTTAATATACTCCCATTATATAAAATATTTTCTAGAAGCCTTGTTTAGTCTAAAATATAAAATATTGAATAATTTTTATAATTATTTTTTTAACTATACTCCTACTTCATTTATTTCCCTTTATAATGCATTAAAATTTTAATTATTATTATCAAAGTACTTATATAGAGTATTTAATGAGAGTACAAATAGAAAGATGCAAAATTTTTTTAAAAAAATTAAAGTTTCAACTAATATTTTTTTATAACGATGAATTAGTTATCAATGCCCTATATTTTGATCTGGAGGTAGTATATATTAGATCTTGTTTAGTTATATTCATTGAGTTGTTTTTACTTTTTAGTATAACTAAAGAGATATTTTTTTATCAAGAGGATAATATAGTCTTTAAACTTTCTTCCAAATATCAATTTGGATCTTGATCTTTGATCAATACAATCCTTTATAGTAATGTCGTAGTTTATTGAGTTAATAAATTATAGAATTATTGTGTTGTAATTAAAGAATTCAAATTAATAAATTATAAATACATCTCTTTCTTTTCTATATAGTGCAAGAAAAACCCACATGCATAAATGTATCTATTATGTTTTCATTATCAATAGTTAACAATAATCATTTTTAATATTTTATGAACAAATCTTGCCTGCCAACCCCTAAATAAGAAACTAAGGAAAGCCATAAATACATAAACCCCCACTTTCAGACTTTCTTTCAATACAAGGCAAATCATATATGTTTTTTAACGTAACAAGTTAAAAGCAGTGTCTCTCCCTGGGAAAATGTTAAGCCATAAGCTAACCATGCACATAGCTTGTGTGTGTATCTAAATCCATATTTAAAAAGTGTTGAAAATACTATGAGCGAAAAAATTGCATGCATATTTTGGAAAAACAAAACATTTTCAATTGACTTTTGGATAAACTTGAGAGTACTTATCCATTTGCCTTTGATATGTCAATGAAACACCTGGTCAACTTGAAGCAAAATAAACAAATACACACGTGTGTATGTGTCCAATTTTGTCTTTGGCACATAATTGAAGTGTATGATATAAAATTGTAAGGTGCATGTGGGTAAAAATTTTATATGACAGCGTGATGTCAGAGGCTTGAAGCAAGCGGTTCGGAATTTGAGTTTAAAGTTTAAAGCCCATTTCAAAAAACAATAAAGGCTCAAAAAATGAACTTTTAAGTCTGAGTTACTAACAAAGGTTGTTGGTCTAATTAATAAAAATTTAGCACATAGTTTAAAATATTATAAGATCAAATTTCATTATCGATATAAGGATTTTATTAGTCAGTGATTTGTAAATACTTTTATAAGTACTCTTTGAGCCTGAAAATATGTTGTGACTCTAGTGAGCTCTTTGAACTCAACTCATGTAAACTTTTTCTTTAAAAAAAATCGTTTTAAATTAAATTTAGTTATTAGTCTACTTCTTCAACTTTAATCTTTATCGATTTAGTCTATTAAGTTGTTTTTATTACAATAAAGATAAGTAATTAGAACTTAAATCTCTTATTTACAATTATAATTATTGAATTTGCAATTTTTTAAATTAATTATTCTCTACAATTTATTTTTCAGAAAATTTTGTGGAAATATAATTATATCATTAATTTTTTCTTTTAGGATTTAATTATCATTCTTCTTGGTTTAAAGTAATCTGGACCATACAACTTACAAATCTATTACTATAATAGCATTATCAAGCATCAGAGACAATTAACCCATAATTATCACTCATTTAGATGAATTTTGTAATTTGATGACATGATTATTATAAATAAAATAATCCAATTTTGTGTATAATTATAAGAACTTTCATCAAACCATATTAAGATATAATGAAGACTAAAATTTTAAATAAGTTGTCGGCACAAATCGTCATTGATGGTAAAAGACAATTTGGGGCTTTATTATAATTAGATGCAACGTAACAATAAACACACACACATGTTCATCCTCTTATTATTTTATAAGGATGAATTAATAGCCCCCGATCTTCTACTAATTACAATATTTAACCCAAATATTACACAACTTGTTCACAAAACTATAATTATAGTTAATGATTATTTTGCCCTCACGAACACAACGGGAAGAACATTCCCATCCAAAGCCTCCAGAATCTTGCCATTCTCACGTAATCCACCAACAGTCCCACAAGCAAACCTACAAGTAGGACAAACTTTTGTAGGACACCATTGAATATTATAGATTCCTCCGAACTGTGTCTCCACAATCCTAAAATAGTTACTATAATCACGACCACCGTTGCTACTACCGGTAACGATAAGTCTTCTTCCACTTTTTGCGTCCCCCTCGCCGACCTTCCACTGTGTTGATTGAATGCATATCGTGGCGGCGGAAAACGCCACCTTGAAGTCCCTGTTCACCTTCACGACATTGTCTTCTCCGGCGTAGGGCGTGAAGGTGACCGGGAGGCCTTTGCCGACGTCGGTGTTTAACTGGCCGACATAGAGAGGGCAGGAGTTGTTGCGGTTGATGAGAGTGAATCGGCCGCCGGAGTCGGTGATGGCGGGCTTGATGTAGTACTCACGGCCGCGTTGAAGAGGACGGCGATTTGTGTCGAGCACGGAGGCGATGGTGTCGGATTGGGATAGGGCTGACGTGGTCATCATTGTGAGAAGCCATGCAAGGCCAAGGACTGAACTTGAAGCCAACTTCATCATGTTGATTATGGATATGTTGGTGTGATTACGTTTTGCAGAGAAGAAAGGACAGGTAAGGTATTTATAGGAATGAAGATAAACGAGGTTGAATAAGTGATGAACTAAAGTCCAAAATGGACAAATGCTTTACTTGAACGTAGCTCAAGTATTCATTGCCTTTGATATCAATAATTTATTATTTAAATTCTTTAAAATAGAGATTATTCATGAATTTCTCTGAAAACTTTAATTTCTTTTATAAGATTTTTTTTATTTTAATTTATTCAAAAAAAAGTTGTTAATATATCTTGTATACCATCCGTTCTATTATACAAGACATTTTTTAAAATAATTTAATTTCAAAATATAACACATGTAGAAAAAATATTAACATTTCATTGATCATCATTCCAACATTATCCATCATTATTTCAGTAATATTATAGGTAAAACTTGAAAGTAGTTCTCAATTAATAATTAGGATTATAAAATAAAGAAAAAGGGCAAATTTTCAATGCCGTAGGCTGCTTGGGATAAGCCATTCATGTCACAGCTTTGACTATTGAAGGCGAAACCGACAAAAGTTTAAATTTTTATGATGGCAAAATTCAATCTGAAGTTTCACAAAAAATTAAGCCGTGTTTGGTAAGTTGGAGGAAACCTTTACGAAAAACCCACTAGCAGAGGATTATATTATTTTTCCACTCATGAATATAAGTATTATATAAAATCTTGTTTTTACCAAATGGTCCCTTTACATTTGTACCTTCTTCGTTTTTTAGATTAATTTTCAAGAGGTGGAGTTCTAGTTTAGATATCATAGATTGTTCATTGAGTAGTTTTAATTATAATTATGAGAGAGAACCGCGAACCAATCTTCACTGGCAGTGTATAATATTAATATACCATATTTTAAAGAAATCTTTTTTTTGTTTACAAGTAGAATTTCAATATAGAACCATAGTAAAAGCTTTACTTCAAATCAAGATCAAATGATTTTAAAATTACACCACGGAATCAAGCGATAAAATTAAAAATTATGTTGTAAATGTAAAGGACTTCAATTATCTTCAAATGGCAACTAGCAATGGGGCTTTGGCAACGATGAATAGATGAATTTGAAAAAATAATAACTGAAGGACATTTTAATTATTTTTTAAAACATAATTTCAATTTAATATCTTGTTCTTGCGGTGTAAATTATGAATCATTTTGGTCCTAATTTGAAGTAAAGTTGCCATAATGGTGCGGTCTTATACTGAAGTTTTTCCCTTTTATGTGGTACATATTTGGCATTCGATATTATCCTGAGTATTATCATTTCTAAACGGGATATAGCTTCCTCAACAACCTTTTGCATTGCATTAAAAAAAATGTATTAACTTTGGTTCCAATCCAAAACCTTATACTTAATTATTACAATCTTTTTTTATTAGGACTGCCACCTATAATAACATAAGTTTATTTTAACTTCGGAAATTTTTGAATTTTTATTTTCCCACTAAATTATATTAAATAAAAGAATATGCATCATGGTACAGTGAATAGATTCATTTCTTTTATAATCGATAGTTAACAATAATAATATTTTTATTATTTTTATTCCAATATATAACAAACATTTCTATTCACAGCGCATAAGCTTGCCACGTACTGTGAGTGTATGATCTAATCCATAATTTAAAAAGAGAATTACAACTAGGTCTTATATAAAGAAATTAATTATTATAAAGTTCATTGACAACTGAATTAAACTTTATTGACAACTGATTATGAGCATATTTGGATTATACTCTAACCTTAGTTAGAGTGGGTCAAACTGAGGTTAGGATGTAAAATGTTAAAAAAATCTTGTTTGGATTATCATAAATTTTCAACCTCAGTTAGCATGCAAACGAGCGTTATTCAAGAAGCCCACTAACCTGGCTTTTGGTTCTCAGCGTTAGTGTTGCTGCTCTTTGGAAGCATTAAATGCGTTTTAAATTTTTATGCTTTCTCTCTCTTGTCTTTTATCTACTCGAG